TGGGCCTGCAGCCCACCCGCTGGTCCCTCCGGCACTCGCTCTTCCGCAAGGGCTACCAGCTCTTGGACCCTTATGTCACCGTCAGCGTGGACCAGGTGCGCGTTGGGCAGACCAGCACCAAGCAGAAGACCAACAAGCCTACCTACAACGAGGAGTTCTCTGCCACGGTTACCGACGGCCATCAGATTGAGCTGTCTGTCTTCCATGACACCCCCATCGGCTACGATGACTTTGTGGCCAACTGCACCTTGCACTTCCAGGACCTCTTGCGCTCCACGGGCCCCAGCAACAGCTTCGAAGGCTGGGTGAGTAGCCATCTCAAGGAGGAGCTGGAGCCGTGCTCCTCTCTGAATGAATGAAGGCGCTCGAAGGGTACTCGCAGAGCTGGGGCTTGTCCTTGCACGCCTGTGCTGCAGATGCACACAGCCTAGCGTGTGTGTCTGTGTTTCCACAGGTGTACCTTCCTGCATCTGTTTGTGCTCCTGCGCTTGAGATTTGCTTACAATGCTATGTAAAGCTGCTATTTCAGCTGATGCATTTTGGGACCCTGAGAACAAAAAGCCTCGGCTGTCATAGCTTGAGGGTCAAGAACCTGTAGCTGAGGGCTGTCAAGTGTCTCCTCTTTGTAGACTAGCAGAGCAGAGGCTTGTAAGACATAACCAGCAAAGTACACCTGCAGACTCACACGGTCGTGTACCTTCCTTCTTTTACTTAGCACACAGAGACGTACTTGGAAACTTAGATACCTGGGGTTGGATGTATTTCTGCTCAGATCTACACATGCTTGCACAATTGTTTGATGTGCGCGTGTGAATTTCTTTGACTTCTTAACAGAATGGCAGGACTAATCTTGTGTCTATTATGTACACCGCTGTGCTGGTTGAACACGGTTTCACTTACAGCTAATTCTAGGTTATTTCCAAGTAGATGGCACTTGCATCTGGCCCAGAGAACCTCATTTATGTCTTAGTCCTAATGGTAAGAGAAAGGAATAGTACAGGCTCTGAAGTTGTGCCTTTGCTTCCAGTACTGTAAAGGAGGAGGAAGTGACTGCATTGATCCAGACAGTAGTTTGCTTGTAAATGTTAGGTTAAAAAAAAAAAAAAAAGGCATTTCTTCTGGGTAGAGAAGGTGCAGGAGAGCTGAGAATCTCCAAGGTTAAGATAGGTATTAACTTTTTGAGGCCAGGAAGTTCAGCACGCGTGGTCAGGTAACCACCACAATAAAATCAGACGTGGAGGAAAGAGAGCTGACACTGTAGAGAACAGATAGGCATCTCGATTGTATCGCTGGGGAGGATGCTGGTGCTTTCTGTTCTCAGCCGGTGTCTGCGACTGAGGTGTGATGCTAGACCTCTGGGGTGATTACAGGGAAATACCAGTCGCAGGATTGATTTGTAGGTGTATATTGGTACTATTTTTTTCTTCTTACGGTGTACTTAGGTACCCTATGGATAGGCTTGAGGTTCACACGCTGAAGGTGGTGTCTCTCAGACAGTCACTGATGTGATTTTGTGTCGGGCAGAGGGATCCGAGCTAGCCTCAAACGAGTTAGCTCAGGTATTCCTCCTGTCAGCACAGCCAGAGCAGAGTTCACAGGGGTTTGCTCGGTGGGTGCGTATCCAGCTTCCCAGGCTAGTTGTGCCGCTGGAGAGGAACTGCTCCTGGGACTTGGGCTAAAACAGTTTTAAATACAGAATGGACCCCTATGGGTCAGGGCAAAGGAGTGAGCTCAGGATAGAAAGCTGTGGTTTTGAGGGTTTTCTTCGTGTTTGATTTGCTGGGGCTGTTTCCTCTTTGCTGTTGAGAGAGGCCCTATCCTCTCGGGAGGCTGGAGTCCTGGTCGCACTGGGTCTGGCTACACGTGGGATTGGACTGCTCTGTTGCAAAGGTGGTGGCCTTATTTACATTACTAAAATATCTATAATAATATTGCCTCCGGTGTGGATGCATGCATGTCCAGGGGCCCGCTGTTTCTTTCATTTCATCCATCCTGCAGTCCTGATTTTTAGGACAGATGCAGCCTGTGGCCTGAAATGCTTGTTCGGTCTTTGGTGAGGGAAAAGTTTCTTAGCCCTGCTGGATAGGCAAGTGTTTTATGAACTCCTGTACCTGTGAGTTGATGGGTGCGATGGGGTGGGAAATCAGTGAGTTTTTTAACTAGTCTGATGTAAACTGATGTTAGATCTGGGCATGTAGACAGAGGCTGAGCTGCTGCTCTCCTTTTCAGTTAATCCACCCCAGTTGTAATTTTTAGACATTTAGTGGGGAGTGAGCAAGCGTTCGTCTTCTGTTCCCTTTCTCCTCTCCCCTCCCTTTTAACTTGCTTTGTTAGCATCTCGCATAGCGTGCAGCCAGGATCACATGATGACAGGGAACAGCATCTTGCCCTGATAATTTAATATGTCTTGATAAATCCAGCAAGGCTGTCACGCGGTTTTGTGTAATCAGAAAGATAGGAAATGCTGGTTTGTACTAACCCAAGGTCCATGAACTGCTGGCACAATAAAAGACACCACAAGGGATTTGTAGATGACTTAGAATCATAGAATCATTAAGGTTGGAAAAGACCTCTAAGTAATCATCGAGTCACTGTCGAGCAATAAAAGACACCACAAGGGATTTGTAGATGACTTAGAATCATAGAATCATTAAGGTTGGAAAAGACCTCTAAGTAATCATCGAGTCCAACTGTCGAGCAACCGACTTGCAACACCTCCACTCTGAAATCCTTCATATTGCCCTTTTTCCATCCCCAAAGCAAAAGCACAAACAGGCAAGGAAGGATTGAATGGAGCGAGGGGAAAATTGGTGAATCCTCAAAGTTTAACCCGGCTTACGCTTACTTGGCTGTGCACGATTTTTCATTTTGATTTGAAATAGAATTTTTACGTTCACTTTTCAGAGACAAGAACAACAATATATTGGTAAACTCCAAATGCTCCTTGGATTGATAACAGCCAAACAGAGCAGGGCAGCTGGCTGCCTCTGCTCCCTGAGCTCTCTGGAGAGCCGAGCTGCTAGGGATTACCTGGGACAGTCCCTCAGCTCACGTGCTGGCCTGAAAGTTTCGGTGTGAGCTCTGCTATAAACAGCTGCGCTGTTTATAAATGTGGATTTTCTCCTGGGAAAAAAAAAAAGTGATTAGTTGATAACATTGGTCACCACCTCTTGTGAGAACTGGAGGAAGTGTCAGCGAGAGGCAGGCAGGAGCAGTTGGTGTGTAAGCGTTGGTGCTTCCCAGATGACTTGCAGGTACATCACTGTAGTTATGACCCCAAACACTTATGCAGATGAGTAAGTGTATGGACATGAACTGTCTCATCAGTAATGCTTATACACGTGAGTCATCCTACTGGCTACTGGGACAGAGTTCTCTGTTCATGGTTTACATTAAAATCCACGTTCCAGAGACTCTTCAGAACTGACCCTTTTTCTTCTAACCATTTTGATTGTTTTCTGAAGTCTTTCTAGCAAACACATTAGCGTGGTCTGGATATTTTTTAATTTGTGTATTAGTTGTTAAACACATTTGACTAATTTTACACAGATCAAATCTGTAAGAGCTTATTAATTTCAAGATCCTTCTCTCTGTTTCCCATTTCTTATATTGTCAAGTTGCAGAGCAGTAGTTTTTATTAATATTGTCAATTAAATACCATCTCGCCTTCAGCATACTTTAATGTAGTTAAAACCGGGAGCGACCTCTCCGGTACCATGTTCTTTCTGGTAGGCATTTTCCTGTGTGGGTGTGAAATTGTGCAAACCTGAATGGTAGCATTTTACACAGGCACACATGACCCTGCCGGGTACACCGTAGTAGAGAATTAAGCTGGTTGCTATCCGAAAGCTGTTACGTTATGTTTTACATCAGGGTTGAAACTTGTGCAAAATTAAATGCTTTAAAAGACTAGCGTGTGTTAAGATCTTTTTACTTGGCATATGCAGCTTTAAAAGGTAGTATCTCCTCTTTAACTGTCTCTGAGTGCAGTATAGGAAGCAGTCATATGTCAGTGAAACAGCATAAATAATTTGGAGTACTGAGTTGTAACTGAAAGGGGAGATGTTTAAAATACAAAGGATTATTCCTATGGGTTTTATGTAGTAGCTGAAGTAATTTTTAAGCGTGGGCAAACGCTATTTACAGATACTGAATTGCATTGTTACTAGGGAATTATTTAATTACGACTGTAAAAATTGTTAGTCCCTGGGTAGAGATGTCATAGTTTCCAGGGCTTTAACAAGGAGTTAAAATTAAACCTTGATCTTGAAGTAGCAAATGATCAGAGTATACTGAAGGAAATTAGATAACAGATGCTTTATAAGATTAATGAGCCAATCGCAACTTCCTGATGAGTTTGTTACCGTTTGCTCATGTGTGCAGGAAGAGATTAAGACAAATAATTCTCATGCATTCCTTAACTTGAGCTCTTTCGCCTGTATCCTTTCCTATGATTTTTTCTTTCTTAAGGCAAAAAGAATTGTGTTTTACCTATGTTTATATGCAGCTGTATTTATTGAACATTAAATTGAAAAGTTAAAGGAGAATGCAACTTCTTCCCCAGAGCATCGTGACCTTGGCAGAGAGCCAGGGTGCTGCAGGTCAAATCTGATATGGTTGCTTCTTGTTTTAACCCCCGCTTCGCTGCAGAGTGTTCTCCAGGTGGGCAAAACTTGCATCAGGAAGCCAAAAGTACTTTATGGCTGTTGACAGAGGATTTTGCGATGCAGTATTTTGTGTCTGCATTAGCTTGTAGAGCGGGAGTAAATGATGTCTCCTTCCATAGGCCAGTAGCAGGCCGAGATAAAGAGCAATAGCAATCTGCCCATATGATTTCTGTTTCCATGCATGTGACAACCATGTACATAGTGCAGATCTCTGACCTGTGCGAAAGTCGTGCTGCACATTAATTGCAAACTAGGCTTGAGTAAACTAAGCTCCTTCCCTATTTCTTGATAAGTTTTAAGTTGTTTCTGTAATTATTGGTACTGATACGCGGTTATTATGTTGAATGGGAATAGTGGAGAGAAACACCCACTGCAGAAGGTAAGATGGTTTTTGAAAGCTACCGGAATTTCGTCTTCTGTTTCTTTCCTTTAGCATACAGCTATCCTTTGGCCCTACAAACAAACCCTTCAAAATGCCAGCAGTCTCATGCACCAAGGCTACCTGAGTGTGCCTTGCAGCCTAAAACGAAGGCTGTAATAAATAAAGGAAAAATTGTTGCTATTTGTCAGATATTAAATAATCCTGGGGTGTGTGATGCTAGTAACAGTTTTACTGATCAAGGCAGATGAGAAAGACT